GCAGGGTGTGAGGGTCTCTGGAGCTGCAGGGTGTGAGGGTCCCTGAGCCAGGGGGGGATTTGGGAGTCCCGAGCCCGGTGAAGGTTTGAGAGTCCCCGGACCAGGTTCCTTCTTCCCAGGCTGGGGAGGTTTGAGGTCTCTGGGTTTGAGGGGTCCTCAGGACTGGGGGGGAATTTGAGGGGTCCCCAGGACAGGGGGGAGTTTGAGGGGTCCCCAGGACTGGGGGGAATTTGAGGGGTCCCTGGGCTGGGCAGAGTTTGAGGGGTCCCCAGAACTGGGGGGAATTTGAGGCTCCCTGGGCTGGGCAGAGTTTGAGGGGTCCCCACGGATCAGGGGGTGTTTGGAGGATCCCTGGACATCGGGGAATTGCGAGCATCCTCTCTCCTGGTGAATTTGTGATTCCCAAGCCGGGGGGTGTTGTGTTCGGGGGTCTGGGGGTGTTTGGGGGGCTCGGGCCGGGGTCTCTGCCCCGGTTTCACACCCCCACGGGTGCAGGTGGACCGACTACATCCCGCTGGGCTGCAGGATGCCGGGCACGCGCTTCATCGCCTTCAAGGTGCCCCTGAAAAAGGTGAGGGGGGCACTTTGGGGGTGCTTAGCAGCTGTGGGGATTCCTTGAGAGAGTTCCTGAGGGTCACAGCTGGATTTTGGGGGCTCTGAAGGGGTCAGCTGGGCCAGGGGAGGCTCGGGCTGGACATCAGGGGGAATTTCTTCCTGAGAAGGGCAGTCAGGGTTTGGAACCGCCTGGGGAAGTTTGGGGTGCCCAGAGCTGGAGGTGTCCAAGGCAGGCCGGGATGTGGCAGTCTGGGCTGGGCACAGCTGGCTCTGGATGGTGTTGAAAGGCTTTTCCAGCCTCTGTGATTCCGTGTTTTTGATCTGTGGATCTGTGATTCCGTGTTTTTGAGCTGAATCCTTGGTTTGCGGCTTCCGCCTGCGGCGTCCGGGTGTGTTTCTCGCTGCGGGGTTTCACCGCGGTTAAAAGTCATCATTCACCCCTGGGAGCTCTCAGCTGAGCAGCCCCAAAGCCCTGAGGCTCTGAGCACGTCCCTGCCCATAAAACTGGATGAGTTTTAATCTCCTTTCCAGCCCAAACCACCCCGGGATTCAGTGACCAAACCCTGTTCTGCTTCAGCCGGTTCCTCTTGCCCGAGTCATCCAGCGCACTCCGGAGCAGCAGCCTCTCCCCACCCACCACAACGCCCCCAGATTCAATAACTGAACTCCTAAAACATCACTTCCCGCAGAGTTTCGAGCAGAACCTCCTGCCAGAAGAGAGATTTTCCCCTCGTGACCTGATCAGGAAGGTCAAGGAGCGGCAGGAGGAGCTGGGGCTGATCATCGACCTGACGTACACCACGCGCTACTACGGCCGTGAGGTCAGCGCTCACAAACCCGGGGGTTCTCCCCAAAAACAGCAGCCTGGCACGGTGGGAGGGCCTGGAATCCTCTGGCAGGCCAGTGGGGGGGTTTCTGATGGAACCCCCAACCCCAAGATCCCCTCTGAGCCAGCCCAAGGTTGGGAATGCTTTGCCTGGGTGGGCAGTCATGGGAAAGGGGTTGCAGCTTCAGTGTGTGCTCCATCCTCCCCAGGGAGAAAACAGAGCAAAGGAACAATCCAGAATGTTCTGGACAGAGCTTTGCTAAGCTAAAATTGCGTAGCTGCTCTTTGAGGCTCGGTGGGAAAATTCGTCATTCTGGTTTTATTACCTGGGATTCTTTAATTAGGAAGAATCTTTGTGCTTTTTCTGGGAATGATTGAGGGTTTTTCCTGCAGGAGCTGCCCCCCACGCTGAGGTACTCGAAGATCCTGACCATGGGACGGGAGATCCCAAACAGAAGAACCATTCTGAGGTTCAATTACCTGGTGAAAAAGTTTCTGACAGACAACAGAGACAACGGTGAGCGTGGATCTCCCTGACTCTGCTGCTGCCGGGGTTTCCTTTCCCTTCTCTTGACGTGGGAATGTGGAGGCAATAAATTGGGATTTTCCTGCTGGAGGAATTTGGGTTGGCTCTGATAATCCAGGCCAGGATGGATGGGTTTGGAGCAGCCTGGGACAGCAGGAGGTGGCACTGGATGGGGTTTGAGCTCCTTTCCAACCCAAACCACTGCAGGATTCCGTGGTGATTTGGTAACTCTGGGATTATGCAGATGAGCTGCCAGGATTAACGAGCTGATGAATTGAGTGCTAATTAGGCATAGCTACGGTGATGTGGGTGGTTGTTTCTGTTCACTGATGGAGGGTTGGCACGTTTTGGGGAGATTTGGGGAGATTTTGGAGGAGAAGCAGCTGAACATGCCCTGTGTGTGTTCCAGATAAACTCATCGGGGTGCACTGCACGCATGGCTTGAACAGGACTGGCTACCTGGTGTGCAGGTGAGCTCTGCTGGCTCAGGTGAGCTTCAGTGGTGCCATTTCCAGCAGAAAACAAGAGAGGGGTGATTTCTCTGATCCCAGATTTACAGCTTTTATTAGGATGGGTGTTTTCAACCCAAAATTCACCATTAAATGCTGATCATTCTGGCATTTAAATAAAAGGTTTAAAACTTCCCCACTCTATTTTTTTTTTTTTTTTT